GCAGGAAGAGAAATCCGAAGAGTTCAAGAGGATGTCAACCGCTAGGGATATCCTTAGTGACCCACTGATGGCCGAGCAGTTCCGTCAGTGGCAAGCGGAGAGAGCGGCAGAACTCGCCAGAGCCAGGGCGAGGGCAGCAGCAGCAGCCCGGGCAGCACCAGCAAGGCCAGGGGCAACCAGAGCCTATAACCCCCGGAATAACGAGGATGAAGGGCAGGCTCGGGGATGCTATGCACAACAGGCTAGGAGGGAGCCTTCCTCGTCTTTTCGGGAAGCTCGAGACTTCTTTGAATCGAGATCCACTACTCCACCACCGGGTCCGCAGGCAGAGCACCAACCGACCCAGCCCAAGCCAGCATCCAGGTTCCCACCATCCTACAGTGCTCCGAGACCGAATGCCCCTACGGCTGATCCAGCCGGCCCAGCTGCCACAGGATGGGGACCACAACAGCAAACGGCTACAGCTGGTCCAGCCAGTTCAACCGCACAAGGACCAACGCCAAAGCCGACCTCGAGGTTCCCCCCAGCAGAGAACATGCCAAAACCTTCGCCTATGTCGGAGGTCCCACGCCCATCGTCCAACTACCATCAATGGGCGCCGCCAAAACCCTCAGGCTACATGCCACCTCCAAAGGATGAGAGATTGCCCAGGGCGAAGACGCCACCCAAAGCTGGTCTGAGAAAACCACCACCTCCTCCACCCAGCAACTTCCTACCGCCGAAGCAGGAGGGAGGAGGAGCAGCGGGTCTGAGGAAGCCACCACCTCCTCCGCCCAAGGACTTCATCCCACCAAAACAGGAGGAGAGAGGGACCGCAATCGGTCGGAAGGCGCCGCCACCAAGCTTTGTTCCGCCAAAGGCAAAAAGGGCAACACCCTCAGGCGAGCCAAGAACACCGGAGGAAAGTGTAGGAGGAACTCCCAGGCATTTCGAGCGGTCCGCTCAAGCATACCAAACCAAAGGAATGCGGGAGGACCTACGGGCCCCCAATGCCGAAGAAGGAGAAGAGCCTTTCCGACCCTCGGGGCTGTTTGAGAGAAATCCCCAAACTTACCAGGGAGAAGGAACTCAGAACAAGCAAGATATCCGGCCCGAGGCGGCCCCCATGGAGGTGGACCAAGGAGCCCGGAAAGGGGCCAGCCCAGCTGCGCTGTGGTTGGGAACACCAGAGCCCGGTGACCATGAGGACAGGGTGGAAGACCCCTCGCAGGACTATGTGCTGGTCAACGTAGACCCGGACTCCGAAGATGACTGGCATGATGTGGTCGATCCGACCAGTTGTGATTGGCCAGAGGTCAGCCAGAACTGGGATGAGGAGAACACCACGGATGGTCTCCAAGGGGATCGAAAGGAAGCAAATGATGCCTTCAACCAGAAAGCACTGGATGCAGTGAAAAGCTTCCTTTTCCACTACAACAACCAAAAGCTGAGGCAGCAGAGGAAGACCCTAGCACCCATCCCAGAAGTCGAGACTCCGTTGCCGACAGCAGTCAGGGAAGACTGCTTGGGCGGTGGATCCCCAAGGATCAACCTTGCCGAGATGGTCTTCCCGCCCGCCTGGGAAGCTATGACGTCCAGGGGAAAAGATCCGAGGAGCTACGCAAGGCCCAAAAGAGCTGTCAGCAAAGACACTAGGGATGAAGATGCCCCCATGGTAGAGCCGCCTGCAAGAGACAGCGGGGAAAGCCCCGCCAAGGCGCCAAAGGTCGAGGAGACGAGGGATCAAGCCATGACGGGGGGGACCCCACCACCGGCTGGTCCAGCCAGATCAAGCCCGACCGCTCCGGTCGAGACACCTTTCTTCTCCTCAGAAGAAGTCGACTGGGGAGATCAGGAGGACGATCGAACTCCAGAGGAGTTTCAACAGGACATGGATCTCCTGAAAGAGATTGGTGATCGCATGGAAGCATACCTGAGGGCGCCTGCAGAGGTCAAAGCAAAGATGAGGGTTTCATCCTGGCAACGATGCACCGAGTACCTGAAGTCCCTGCAGCTGCGAGCGGACGAGGCTCCTCCGCCCACCAAGCCAGGCAAGTTCGCAGCCGACATCCGGATGGGTTTCTCGCCGGAAGAGGCGAGGATCCGACATAAGTCGCGGCAAAGGGCGGCCAGGCATCACCAACAGCTCGCACGAATGGAGGGTTGCACACCAGCTGATATGCCGAGGTCTTGGGATCATCCAAGACCCCCCACTTTGGAACCCGGCTATCTTGCGAGAAAGGAGGCCGAGAGGGCGCAGAGAAGAGCCCAGCGCACCGCTGATTTGAGGACCAACCCCCAAGATAGTGCAGCGGCTGCTCCAGCCGATGATCCAAGCCACCCTCAGAACCAAGATGAATGGCGATGGAATCGGCAAAGCTACGACAGCCACCAGCAATGGCAGGGATCGAGCTGGGCTGAGGAGCAGTGGAGAAACTGGCGATCCGCCGGATACGGCCAAGAGTGGAACCAGCAGTGGCACCAACAGAACTGGCAGCCAGGCTGGAAAACTGGAGGCTGGCAGCAGTGGCAGTAAAGCCCTGAGTGAGCGGTTGCCGGAAGCTCCTTCCGGAATTCATTTGAAGTGACCTCTAGACCAGAACAGAGTCCTGGGGTCGCAACATGCAACTCCCAAGGGGGGGAATGACGGGCGAAGCCCTGTCAGACCTCTGGGCTGTGGTACT